TGTAAATCAGGCCTCGGGCTGTTGAATGAGAGACAGAGTCTGGCCGACTGCTTGGGGCATAGTTGTGTGTGTGTGAGTGTGTGTGAGTGTGTGTGTGAGTGAGTGTGTGTGTGTGCGTGAGTGTGCATGAGTGTGCGTAAGTGTATGTGAGTGCGTGAGTGTGTGAGTGTGTGTGAGTGAATGAGTGAGTGAGTGTGTGTGCGTGAGTGTGCGTGAGTGAGTGTGTGTGTGCGTGAGTGTGCGTGAGTGTGTGAGTGTGTCAGTGTGTGAGTGTGTAACTGTGTATGTGAGTGAGTGTGAGTGTGTCAGTGTGTGAGTGAGTGTGTGTGAGTGTGTGTGTGTGAATGTGTGAGTGTGTGTGAGTGTGTGTGTAAGTGTAAGTGTGTGAGTGCGTGTGAGCGTGTGTGTGTTGGTGTGTGAGAGTGTGTGTGAGAAAGTGTGTGTGTAAGTGAGTGTGAGTGTGTGTGTGTGAGTGTGTGTGTGTGTGAGTGTGTGTGAATGTGAGTGTGTGTGAGCGTGTGTGTGAATGTGAGTATGTGTGTGTGAGTGTGTGTGTGTGTGTGTGAGTGTGTGTGAGTGTGTGTGTGAGTGTGTGTGTGCGTAAGTGTATGTGAGTGTGTGAGTGTGTGTGTGAGTGTGTGAGTGAGTGAGTGTGTGTGCATGAGTGTGCGTGAGTGTGCGTGTGTGTGAGTGTGTCAGTGTGAGTGTGTCAGTGTGTGAGTGTGTAACTGTGTGTGAGTGTGTGTCAGTGTGTGAGTGAGTGTGTGTGTGAGTGTGTGAGTGTGTGTGAGTGTGTGTGTAAGTGTAAGTGTGTGAGTGCATGTGAGCGTGTGTGTGTTGGTGTGTGAGAGTGTGTGTGAGAGAGTGTGTGTAAGTGTGTGAGTGTGAGTGTGAGTGTGTGTGTGTGTAAGTGTAAGTGTGTGAGTGCGTGTGAGCGTGTGTGAGTGTGTCGGTGTGTGTTAGTGTGTGTGAGAGTGTGTGTGAGTGTGTGAGTGTGTGAGTGTGAGTGAGTGTGAGTGTGTGAGTGTGTGTGAATGTGAGTGTGTGTGAACGTGTGTGTGAATGTGAGCGTGTGTGAGTGTGTGTGAGTGTGTGTGTGAGTGTGTGTGAGTGTGTGAGTGTGAGTGTGAGTGTGTGTGTGAGTGTGTGTGTTAATGGTCTGTTGTTAGATGGGAATCGTCACCATTATCACCCTGATTGCTTTTGTTCCCATTTTGAAGAGTATTGAAAACCTGGGACGTCAGGACTGATCCCAGAACTCCCCCTGGGGAGCTCACAATCTGACCTCCCTGAAGTGATCAAAGTAACTCCACAAAGGAAGCAATCACAGTGGAATTAAATACAATTAGGATCAATTCTAAGACCCCTGAGGCTCGGGAAAGTGATATCATGAGGGAAAACAGGCGGGGAGAGACCTGGCTGGGACCTGGTGAGTGGCTACAGCTTTGGAGAAGGGGACTGGAGGGCCACTCTGGAAGAGGTCTCAGCATCCCACTGTACGGACATGGAAACTGAGGTTTTCCAAGACTGGACCGGCTTCCCACTGGCCCCGCTGACAGGAAGAGCAGAGATGATTCCTGTCCAAACACGCGTGGAGGCACCTCTCGCCTTCACCACAAACAGGTGTCATTTCCAAAAAAAGGAGACGAGGTTAGTGAGAAGGAACGTCCACTCCGATCCCGTTGGTCAGCTGCTCTGGAGAGGCCTTGCAGAGAGGTCACTGAACACGTCTTAGGGCACCTGTGTGGAGATGTGGGCGTGCCCCTGTGCCAGGTTACGGCGCCTCGCCCCCAGGGTCTGGGAGTCCAGCCGGAAGAATGACCTGGACTCACTGTGTTTTCCCTGGAGAGAAGTAGCCCACCTCGTGGTTCATAACACAGCTGCACCGTGCGATAGTTCACATCGTGCTCTGAGTGCAAAGGCCAAGGGGCTGACTCCTCTGTCTTTTTTTTTTTTTTTGTAGTTGTAGATGGACAGAATGTCTTTATTTCATTTGTTTATTTTTGTGTGGTGCCGAGGATCGAACCCAGAGCCTCACACCTGCCACTCGGCCCCAGCCCGGGACTCATTTTCTAGTAAGATTGCAACCTCATGAGTCTCTGCACGCATTTTCTCCCTGCAGCGAAGCTCCTCCACTAAGAGCATGGTTGGTGGCTGATACAGTGAACACTCTGAGTTTGGGGCTCCTTCAGGCCCCCTTCCTGAATTCCCTTCCCCTAGTGCAGATAAGACCCGAGTCTCTCCACTGACTGGTGTCTCACGGCCATGGCTCAGGGTTTACCCAGTTAGAGGCTGTAGTGCTCCCATGGAAAACCAAGTCGGCACGAGTCTCAGGTTGTTCCCTTAATAGCAGACTTTGGACAGCAGAGAGACGGGGCCTCGCAGGAGTCTGGAGGATTGCTTCCATGAGGTGCCATCAAGAAACAGGGAGGCTGCAGAGGGCCACCCAGAACAGCCGCCCACCTCCCCGTCCCGGGAGGCCCTGGGAGCCCCTGGGAGCCCCTGAAGCCCGCCCAGGTGCAGGCCCTTGACAGCACAGAGAATTCAAATGACGGACACGGAAACGGAACAGGGTCGTGGGTCTTCCTAGTGTTGGCCGCCTGGCGGTCATCAGCACTGGGGACGGACGGTCTAGAGGTCCTCACTCTTCTTCCAAGTGGAAGGGGAAAACTTTCGCTCCACAAGTGTTTATTGGACTGCTATCTTTTTACTGGTGTGTAACATGCTACAGAATGTGGTAGCCTTTGGCGTGTCTGAACACGCACAAAACATGATTCGGACCCTTGCACCCCTGGTGCCCCCGTCCTTCCTCACCGCCCCTTTGTCCACCCCAACGGTCTCCGCCTTGAACGTTCATTTTGAGCTGGGCATTGGGTGAGGAGTCAAGGATGCGATTTCATGAGCCAGACGGAGCTCCGGCCTTTGCTAGGTCTGGCGGGGGAGGCCTGTCTGCCACACACACACACACACACACACACACACACACGATGTCACACGGTGGTGGGTGCCACCAAGGGAACCTCAGGGGGCCCCCCACGCCTGGGCGGGGTCCTCTCTAGAGGGGTCTTGTCAGCTGAGGCCTGACATGACGACACGGCGCTGGTGAGTGGGTGCCACCGGCGGGGCACCCCGATTCCCTCCGGGAGGCTCCGGGACCCAGCTCTTCTCCGACGTGGTCTGCCCGACATTCTTGAAGGACAGAGTTCAGGCCACACCTCAAACACACTCTTGGCACCCACCGTCACAAAGCACACACAGCGTTTTCCTACAGAGACGTCAAGGGACAGGGGAGCAAGGCAGAGGTCTGAACCAAAGCAAGCCATCGCGAGCGTTGACGAGGGAGCAGCCTGTCCCAG